GTTACATTATATTTCTTTCATTAGCAACAAGCTCTGGTCTTCCAATATGTGTAAAACATATATGTACAACAGTTATATCGGAATATGTACAGTGAAGAAGGCTCCACAACCAAAACGTTGTGTTTTTGTCTTCTCTTTTCACCATGGAATAAACCTTTACTTGTTCCTTTGCAGCCTACGCATGCAGACGCAGCTGCCTACTTGAAGTAATTAATAACAGCATGTTTGATTTTATGATATTATGAATATCACATTTTCAGTGACATTTTTTAAAAGAAACATTTATTGTTAGAGGAATAAATACGAAATAAGTTATTTTAAGTTAAGTGTGTGATCCTCCTTGATCTCGCTTAGAATTATTTTTTGCAGTATTTTCTAGACACATGCTAGAGCGACCTCTTGTGGCACAATATTATACAACATAACATTTTCTTGGTTAAGAGCTTACTCATCACAAAGGATTTATTTTAGTTACAAAATCTGTAAAATTCTAATGTTGACAAAACATTAAGTATACAGTCTGAATCTGTGTTTATAATGCAAGACATAAGAGTATCTCGTGGTAACTTTCAATAAGGACGCTTTGAAGAGCTTCAACACTCTTTACTGTAATTTAACGAACAGTTAAGAACAACTTCTCAAACGGCAGTGCAGTCTACTTGCTTGCACTCACTTCTCTAATAAGAAAAGGCAGACGACCAACAGATCCGGTTCCAAAGTTAAATGACCTTTGACCTTTAGGTTCCGATAATTTACAGCAACTATAACATATCTGATTCTGGACAGTTCTACACTACATACTGTACTACATACAGGTTTGTGATTTATTTTTTCTAGGCAAACCCCAAAGACAATAATAGAAAAGTCTGACTGATATCGAATAACTTATTTTAATTGAACTGGTGTGTAACGAAATTGACATAATATAAAAAGGAAAGCTTTTTAAAGGGATCAAATTCTAACAAAAATCTTACAATTTTACTTTTTTTTTACATTTTGTGTCAGTACAAAATCGTAACAGTATGCAAGGTGTTACAGGTGTACTTCATAATGAGAGCGCAAGTCCAAGCTTTTATTTTGACAAAAAGGGGAAAAAAAAGCTCTTTATGTGGTTGGTTTTCTTCCAACCATCAGGGTCACTCAGAGCCCAACTGTGTAGATTGCCTTTGGCTCCTCCTTCACTTGCTGAAGAGAGCACCAGGGTCTGTAGGCAGAACCACAGCTACCATCAGTCACCTGTGCACCCCATGGCCTCAGCAGCGCCAGCCCTTACCCTTCAGACGGACTCCTGGAGTCCATGTAGCCAGCAGGTAAACCTTTGTAACTGTCCAACATATGAACCCTACAGATTAACTTCTGTAGGGTTAAGCTTTGCAACATACAGCACTGCAAAGGATCTTACAAGTCTCATTCTACTCATATTATACATAAGAAAATGAGAACCTTTTAATTCTTGAATGAGGAGATTAGGAGATTACAGGTATTCAAAATCCTCAAAGTCATGGAAAAGGCCAGCCTAGTAGTTGTAGCAGACAAGAGGAGTGGTGACTCAGCGGCTAAGGATCTGTGCCTGTGGTTTGAAGGTTGCTGGTTCAAATCCTACAGCTGGTAGAGGAATCCTACTCTGTTGGGCCCCTGCGCAAGGTCCTTAACCCCAGCTGCTCCAGGGGGTGCTGTTTAAATGGCTGATCCTGTGCTCTGACCCCAAGCTTCTCTCTACCTGCTTTGTGTTTCATGGAGAACTACAGCAATGCTGGAAAGTTGTTATGTGCACTGAAAAATTGGGAATTAAAAATTGAATAATTATAAATTATGTAAATGTGTCATCTGTAATGTACTTAATCGGTTTCATAAAGCCTGAGACAGGTTTTCATATTTTCTATTTGAATAAAATTAGTTCATGTGTCAAATACGCAGCCTAAATACTTAGCTATGTCGATACAGGGTGCGCTTATACTTGAGCTGAGACACAGCTTAGTGCCACATTCGCCAACAGAACAAATGATCGAAAATGAATACCTCACAAAAGTCAAGTATTATGTCATGGCTGAAAGGAATTGACGCCATGTCCTGACGCCAGCTCCGATAGATCACGCACACCTGTTGCAAGCATCAGAAAATACAAGGCTACAAGGCGATAAGATCCAAATTATCTAAGTGCTCAGTGCTATTTTTATTATATTTGTGAGTGAGTGTGTGTGCGCGCCCGCTCAATGTGGTCATTGACATTTTCTGTGGTTCCTATGAGACGATAACTTGTAGGTGGTACTTGGATGCTTTGGTTTGATCAAGGGTGGTACTTGGTCCCAAAAAGTTTGAGAACCACTGCTTTAGTCTATTCATTACAATTAGTTACAGAGAGTGTACTATGAGTAGAATTTTTCCTAGTCGAGGAAGCCGTGGGGTAACGGGGAATTTGCTGTTCAGCCATAAATGAGACCTATAGAGATAATTAGTTTCATTTTGAGTTGAAAATCTATGTGGGGCTGGTAATGGTGGTTATTATAGGTGGTTGACTGTGGGTAGCTGAGGTAAGTAGATTGGTCATTTTTTCTCCACAGACAACACAAA